GGATTTTTGTGCTGCGCGCCGCCGGAGGACAGTCTCTCCTCAGGAGAAGCGCCGGGCTTGGCAGCCCGCCCGGCGGGCGCGGGGAGCAGCCGGGGGATGCGGTGGCCTCGCCGTCACCGTAACTCTCGCTCTGTCACCTTCACAGGTACAGCGCGTATGCAAATGGTGTCAGCTCATCTGCGGGCTGCCAGACGGTGAGTTAGGATCGCGATTCATCGCCCGGGGAAGGCACCGTCTGCTTTCCCTCGCCCTGACCTTTCTGCCGGAACAGATGCGGCGGCTCCGTCAATTTGGATGCGGTTCTGCGCACTCCGAAGGGCTCCGGCACCTCCGAGCAGCCCTTATGAACGCCTTCGGTTTATTATTCGTGGATTTTTTAACTGTTCTCTAGCCCTTTTCCCACCTAAGCGATTTTAAAGCAATTGCCATGAATGCATCCCGTGCTCCTCCTGATGGCACAGCAAGCTAGTGCCAAAGAAAGGGCATTTAAAAATAAATAAAACTGCAACTCTGAACATTTTTTTTTTTTTAATACAAAGGATTAATTAGGCCTCCTTTTTTTTTTTTATCGAGGCTAAAGATACATTTAATTTGGATTTTTAACAGATGGTTAATAGATGTTAAAAACACTTGCTGATTGCAAATGTCCACTTACTGAGAATCAGTAACCATGTAATAGGTATTTAATGTATCAACTACATAGATATTACATTCAAATTTGGGTTTAATCACATTTTAGTATTTTACTAGCAACCAGCAACCACCCTATAGAATCTAAGGTGCGTGTGTATGTATCTAGAAACCTCAATTTTGAAGGTAATCCAAGAGGTTTAATTATCACTGTCACCGTATCTCCCTTCATATAATGTAAATATACTTTATGATTATTGAGCCTAAAATGTCAGCCACAGAAGAAATTACCAAGCTATTGGTACAAAAGTACATCACTCATAAAAACAACAAACCATCAGGCATTTAAAAATTGATTACACTGATGTACCATAGCTGCCCTGTCACAGTCAGTAAGTATGAATTGCTTATTTACAGAGACAGAATGCAGATCTGGTACAGTAAGACAAGGATTGGACCTTCCCAGAGCAGAAAGTATTTCAAGACACAACATAATCCTATTTGGCTGCGTCCAGCATCTGATTTTCAAGAATGGGCTCACTGTAAAAAAGAAGCCTTTTGAGGAAATCTTGATCTACTAACCATAATGCTGCCAGCTGCTTGTCTTCTGGTGTGGCGTTGGGGCCTGAGTGGGTTTTTAGTCTCACTGCATACCTTCAGCAATAGGAAAAAAAAAGCCAGTGTGAGTTAACTGAGACGGCTTTATATTAGTGATCAGAGAGCTAAGCTGGCCAATATAATTTCATCTGCCCCCTTGTACGTATTTGCTCAAGTTACTAAACATACACACGCTTTTCTGGTTGTGTTTCAGAGCTAGTTTGCCAATAACAGTGCACTCTTCAAACAGCAGTAACTCCCTTGAACATCCATCAGTCCACAGGGGAGCCTAGCTGGTGAGGTGATGCTGCCTTACCAAAATAACCTCTCCTGTTCTTGAGACCCAGTTACACAGAGTTCATGCAGAAAGGTTTTCATAGTGTTTGAAGGCAGACAGCCTGCCTTGAAGCTGGTGCTGCCCTCACCCTGCCAGCTCTGAGCACGTCTACCCAGATTTGCTCCTCCAAGCAGAGCACAGCAGAGAGGGAACATGTGGCTCAGAGCTATTTTTGCTCATATGACATTACATTCAAATTCTATAAATATTAAACATCCACAGAGGTAACACTGCTGTTTCAAGAGTGTATGTGCTATGCAATCACAAATTAAGTTTCTGGAAATCTCAGCTTCCAGCTGAACACCTGAACAATGGGCAAGGTTAGGACAACACATAGCACTTCTGGGCTTGCTTCCAGAAAAAATACCTGTTCCCCACCATTATATGAGTGTGTTTTTTCTTATCTTTGCTTTCAAACTTTAATCCTGATAGCTAAGCAAGGATTCAATATGAACATTTTGTTTCAACAGGCGTATCTATTAAACTACTTATTTTCCTGAGCATCAGCAAGATGGACAGCAATTCACTCTGCAACATGACCTCAGCTACACAAATTATTGAAAACTATGGAGCTGCATTTCCAGAGTTAGGACCATATATTTATTATCATGAGAAAAGACAGGGCAGGCAAAGAAAGAGTTTTCTGCCTTTTGAAGGGAAGAAGGAAAGAATTGCAGAGATGGGATGTACTGTTCCCTTACTGAAAAAAAATTAAATAATTATTTTGTTTAATAACCTTCCAGTTAGAAAGCTGGCCTCAATCCACTGAAATGCATGAGAAGACAGCCCCAAGCAGAATAAAACGCCAATGGAATTGTTAACATGCGAGAAAATCACATCAACACTAAGTCCAAAAGAATGCAATTGTTTTAGAAGCTTTCCTCCATTATGAGTATGATTACAAATTAAAATATTTTACTTCCATTTAACTTAGTCCTGATGAGAGTTGTGTGGTTGACAGTTCTAAGAAATGATGCCATGGTCACTGACAGAGCAGTTTTTTCTGCTGGTGTGGCTGAGCTCACCCTCTTGTGGAAAGAGGGCCTCAGCAGTTGGGATTATTTTGATCATAGAATCATAGAATCCCAGGGGTTGGAAGGGACCTCGAAAGATCATCTAGTCCAACCCCCCTGCCAGAGCAGGGTCACCTAGAGTACATCACACAGGAACGCATCCAGGTGGGTTTTGAATGTCTCCAGTGAAGGAGACTCCACAACCTCCCTGGGCAGCCTGCTCCAGGGCTCTGTCACTCTTACAGTAAAAAAATTTTTTCAGATATTCACCTTGAACCTCCTATGCTCCAATTTACACCCATTACCCCTTGTCCTATCACTGGTCATCACTGAGAAAAGCCTAACTCCGTCCCCCTGACACTCACCCCTTACATATTTGTAATTTGATCTTTGTGTTCTCTACTGACACTGTCAATTATGTTAACTGTTAGTACCAACTATAAAGGAGCAAAAGACTGAAAGAGGCAAACTTTCTTCATAGGGACTGAGGGTGGGACTGAATTCTAGGCTGTCCGGTTTGGAGAGCCATGAAGGTGACTAAATGTAGGAGTAGCTTTAGTGTGAGCTGGACTGCTCTTGGGACTCCACTGGCTACAGTAGGAGCATGCACACCAAATCAACCCTGAGTGTCCATTTTTCTATCACTGTTCACATCTTCTTTCAGGTAACCATTACACTGCAGTCTTAAACACGTTGTAGCATTTTGCGAACTGCCACCCCATGAGAATGTTTTGGTATTATGTATTATTTTTCCCTTTTGAATAGTATGGGACTTATACAGTGAAAGTCTGGAAGTAATTTGCAACTGAAGTAATATGAAAAGCTTTGGGGCTTTTTTGCATTCTACACAGTTTCCTCATTTATTTTTCCACAGAATTCATAGATTATACATACATATTACATATGACTGACCAGGTACCTGGTACATTTCTCCTCTTCTACTGTACCTAGGGAATTATCTAATAATGTAGACAAATAGTTTGCACAAACAGAGCAACCCCTGAGGTTATCTCCTTCCTTCCTACCTGATGAGTTCAACTGTTTCTGAATACATTGTATAAGGAGATTTAGATTCCATTGGGCCTTGTTCCATCGCATTTCCACACTCAATAAATGATAGTGCTGCTTCTGCATAATTCAGTGCCTTTCCAAACTTTTCCACCTAGAAGGAAAAAATAAGGACACTGAGAAATAGTGTAATCATCAAGATATGGTTACATTTGATGGGGCTGTATCAACATGAATTGTAAACTTGACAAAAATTGGTGTATCTTCAGATTGACAAATTTTTGTACAAGAAAGCTAAAACACATCAAACACCCTGTGCATCAGTGAAAATCATAAGATACAGAAAGTAGAGCTGAAAAAGGCTACAAGATGTTCTTTTCTCCACACTCTTGTGTCCAAAGAGGGATCAACTCTGCCTAGGACATTCCTGACAGATCTTTGTCAAGAGACTTCCAGTGCTAGAATTTCCACAAACTCATCACCTTTTGCTCCAGCTTTCATACAAAGGGCTTCACGTGTCTGGAAATGTAATTTTTCATCACTCAACAAAGACAGGTAATGGTTATAATGAACTAAGAAAATCAGAAATAATACTTTGACTTCTAACTCTCACATTCAAAGGTTCATCTGTGTTCTCATGTCTCCTTTATCCCTACCATTTTCAGCACGGCTTGACCACACTCTACTCTTGTCAGGAGTTTGTTTTTTATATCTTCCCCCTCCTCTTTCAGGCAATGTTATGCTCCCACAGCTTCTCCTCCCATCCTTCCTCCTTGCCTCATTTCTTCTCCTGTTTTCAGTACTTTTTTGACTCTGTGTATGTGTATTTGTGCACTTACATAGATATATGTACATACATGTCCTCAATGATGGTGTATATGCAAACGTACACATAATGTTCATAAGTGTACATTTACATAACACTTATGTGCCCTCAGAATTTCATTTTTGACGTGGATAGAGATGAATCATACTAAAACCTCTCTGTCTTGACTTCCCTTCAGTCAGAACTCCTGCTGTACGAAAAGCCCATTAATGGAGTGGATGCATTTGGCTGAAATCTGATACACACAGTGAAAGGTTAATGGACCTTATTCTTTTCCTAGGGATAAAATTTTTAAATAGTAACTTTGGAATGGCACACTGGCTTCAATCTATTTTAGGTTCTTACATTATGACTCCCATTGCGATCATACCAGAGAACTCCACAAACTTTTTATTATATTTCTCTCCCCAACGCTCTTGTGCAGGTGGAAGTGCTATTATCCCAATTTCACAGATGGGGGACTAAGGAGCAGAGAGACTTAGAGTAATTTTCAGGCTGCTCACTCTAAGTGCCTATGTTAGGTATTGCAGTGCCCAAGTAGGAGGTATTGAGCTCAGCCAGATGATTCAAAGTGTGTGGAGGCAGCCTGGCAATGTGGCAGTTCCTCCAGAATCCCTACATAGTCAGTGAGGGAGAGGAAGTACCTGAAAAGGGTGGTTCTCAAGGTATAAGTAAGGTGCTGGTCCCCTGTGTATGGAAGCTGAATGTGGAGGATTTTTCAATCACCTCACACTAACAGGAGACTATTTTAGCTGTGCTTAAGTGTCTTTCATGCAGGTAACCTGTGGCAGAGCACACAACAATGCTTGTACCTCTTGTTTCTAAGAGTCCACCATAAAAATATTTCTCCTCAGGCTAAGAATTTCCTTTGCATATTAAGTGTTTGTTTTTTTCCATTCCATTTAAAGCAACACAAATGCACCATTTGTGCTTTTACACAATATTTTCTGATTTAAGGCTTACTTTAGAGTAATATGGAACTGAATAAACCATGTGCTAATAAACTCAGGTAGAGTGTAAAACTCGGTGTTAGTGTCCTAAATCAAGGGTCTGTTTCTGCTTCCTTGGCCTTTTTACACTCTGCACTGCTAAGAAAAAGAGATGAAGAAACAGACACTTTGAGCTACCTTTCTTCTTCCCTGCTGCTGTGACAACAAAGTGTCTGTCTGACAGAATAAGGCAGGAGTGCAGCTGCTCTCCCCTGCAAGATAGCCCTATTAATGCAGGGTTCCACCCAATCTATTGTGCCTGCCATCCCAGAGGCCTAGTGTTTTTAAGGCTGTTCTAGTTTACTCATAGTGCTGGACAGACGTAGCCTTGGAGAAAGCTGAGAGATGGCTAAGTGGAGCTCTCCTGGAGCCTCACACACTTTGTTGCATCCATTTGTTTGGAAAGACAAGCAACTCTTCAGTGCTTCACACAACCGTAGATCTCCCTTTTCCAAGAGGGTCTTAAAGGCTACACCTTTAGACAATTCAAAGCCAGGGCCAAGAATCTGTTTTTTTAACAGCCTTTTGTGTGCAAGGTGCTCCTCTAGGGTTATGTTAGCAGAGGTCTGCCATGAAACCAGGATTCATTTAGTACTGCTGAGCAAATGATCTTTAAAAAAACCAAAAAAACCCAACCAACCAAACAAAAACAAAAAACCACCTCAGCGACCAGACCAAATTTAGGGATACAATTATAGGACCTAGCCAGCTAGTTAAACTGAGAAGATAGATATGTGGATCCCTTACTCAGCCTCCATTACTATAGTTACTAATTAAAGCAAAGGAATAAATGGAAAGTTTTATTTTTCCAGGCCTTTATCTCAGTAAGTCATTATTTGTTAAGCCATAGTTTATTGGGCTATGAACATTTGATTATATAAACATTTCTTAATTTAACAAGCCTAGCCATCCTTATAATAGATTTTATAATTACCCCAGCAATACTGCACTGATGAAGAAACCGCATTACAAAAATAATTTGGAGCAAAATAACTGGAAAGGGAATGTTCTTACCATTGCATCTGCTTTATGCTTCTTCCGTTTAGCTTCCTGCATAAAGTAATCTGCATTGCGTGGCCTACCAGGGGAAAATAAGAAGACATTTTATTATTGACTGAAGTGCAGAATATTTTCAAGTTATCTTTTCCTTATTTCAAACCTGATTTGTGAACATTTTTTATGAAGAAAATAGACTTATCATGTAACCATGCATCTTCTGTTTCCAAATTGCTGCCTGTGGAGACAATAGCATTTATGGCTGTTCTCATTCTTTAGAAGTCAGTGATTCAAAGCAAAAAAAAAAAAAAAAAAGCTAATAAAATGTGGTTTTATGGATGATATAAACTGCTTCCCAAATTAGTGCAGTTTTGATCTGCAAAACGGATGCAGGCATTAAGCATTATTCCATCATGACTCTCCCTGATGCTTGATTACCACTTTTTCTACTCCTCTCTGTACATTGTCATTTGCTTTGGCTTCTTCCTCTTCTCAAAACAATCTCTCCACTTTAAAAACACATCGAACCTGTTTGCCTCCACAACTACCATCTTGCTCCCCTTCTGCCTCTTATCCAGTACCTGAAGAGGCCCACAGGAAAGCTGGGGAGGCACTTTTTACAAGGGCATGTAACGATAGGACAAGGGGTAATGGATTAAAACTGTAAGAGGGGATATTTAGGTTAGACATTAGGAAGAAGTTCTATAGTGTGAGGGTGGTGAGACACTGGAGCAGGCTGCCCAGAGAAATTGTGGAAGCCCCATCCTCAAAGTGTTCAAGGCCAGGTTAGATGGGGCTCTTAACAACCTGGTCTAGTGGGAGGTGTCCCAGCCCATGCAGGGAGTTGGATCTAGACAATCTTTAAGGTCCCTTCCAACCCAAAGCATGCTATGATTCTATGATCTGTAAGCACACTGAGAGCGCTGTTTCCTTCTGCTGCCTGGAGTTCATCTTTGACTGGGCCACCTGCTGCAATTCCACTGGCATTGCTCATGCCAGTTTCTTCATTGACTTCTCCTCAAAGAGATCTTGGAGATGTCACCCCTTCCTTAACCTATCTGACCTACTGACTGCAGAGAACAAATTCAACTGCTGTCTCTATGCTGAGGTTCACAACTACATTTCTGATCCAGACTCATCCACTTCCATTACAAAAGAAAACACAAACTGATACCTCTTTGCCAATGCCTGTTCACCACCTCAGTGAGCTCCTCATGGCTGAAATAAATTTCCTCATCTCCTCCCACAAGCTCTCCCTATTGCACCTTTCTCAGTCATTGTGTAGAACAGCCATTTGCTGTATCGTTTCAGGCCATAACCATGCATCTTCCATTGCCTCATAAAAATCTTCACATTTCCTGACCCTGCAGATTCTTCCAGTCGCATATACATGGGAGCTGGCTGCCTTCTTTCTCTACTCAGCTAAAACATGTCTTAGTTCTTCTCAGTTTATACTGTGCTTACTGCCATGTCCTCATCTCTCTCAGAGAAGGAAGTTTTCCTTTGCAAAATAGTTTTCTTAGTATTGCTTAGAGTGTCATCACTTTGCCCTTACCTAATGAAAATGAGATATTCCTGAGTAGTCAGAGTGTGAATTCTTATGTTTTTACCATTCATGCTTTTAAGTGTTAGGTGTTGTAAATGATATGTTATTATTGCCACTCAGCAATCTGTTGTAGGTTAGCCCTGGTAGGCAGCTCATCCCCCAGAGTGTGGCTTGCTCACTCCCCTCTGCAAGACTGGGGAGAGAAGTGGAAGGATAAAAGTGAGAAAACTCGTGGGTTGAGATAAAAACAGTTTAATGGGTAAAGCAAAGCAGAATAAAGAATTCATTCACTCCTTCTATACAACAGGTAGGTGTTCAGTCATGTCCAAAAAAGCCAGGCTTCACCACACTTAGAAGTAACTTGGGAAGACAAATACCATGACTCTAAACATCCCTTTTTTCTCCTTCTTCCCCCAGCTTTTATTGCTGAGCATAATGTCATACAGCGTGGGGTATCTCTCTGGTCAGTTGGTGTCCTCATCTCTCTCAGAGAAGGAAGTTTTCCTTTGCAAAATAGTTTTCTTAGTATTGCTTAGAGTGTCATCACTTTGCCCTTACCTAATGAAAATGAGATATTCCTGAGTAGTCAGAGTGTGAATTCTTATGTTTTTACCATTCATGCTTTTAAGTGTTAGGTGTTGTAAATGATATGTTATTATTGCCACTCAGCAATCTGTTGTAGGTTAGCCCTGGTAGGCAGCTCATCCCCCAGAGTGTGGCTTGCTCACTCCCCTCTGCAAGACTGGGGAGAGAAGTGGAAGGATAAAAGTGAGAAAACTCGTGGGTTGAGATAAAAACAGTTTAATGGGTAAAGCAAAGCAGAATAAAGAATTCATTCACTCCTTCTATACAACAGGTAGGTGTTCAGTCATGTCCAAAAAAGCCAGGCTTCACCACACTTAGAAGTAACTTGGGAAGACAAATACCATGACTCTAAACATCCCTTTTTTCTCCTTCTTCCCCCAGCTTTTATTGCTGAGCATAATGTCATACAGCGTGGGGTATCTCTCTGGTCAGTTGGGGTCAGTTGTCCCAGTTGTGTCCCCTCCCAACTCACTGAGCATCCCCAGCCCACTCACTGGTGAGGTGTGGTGGGAAACAGTAAAGGCTCTGACTGTGTGTAAACCCTGCTGAGCAACAGCTAAAACATCCTTGTGTTATCAACGCTGTTTTGGTCTCAATTCCAAAACAGCACCATACGAGCCACTGTGAAGACAAGTTACTCTAACTGAGCCAAAACCAGTACATAGTCCTCACTAGCAGCAAGAGCATGCTGAGATCCATAACTGAGATCAGTGGGAGCCTCTTGACAAAAGAGGACAGCCATATATATACACTTCCTTGAGACCATAAAGCATTTAGCAGTGTCTTTACTTAGTTAATTTCTTTCTACTTTCTATGCCCACAATTTCAAGGACATTTAATTGCACCATGGAAGGTTAGTCAACCTTCTTTTGAAGACAAGGAAGGCTGAGGAACACTAGATAGAAATAAGATTCAAAGTCTGGCTTATTTGGAATGACCTCTGCCCTAGAAAGCTTGTTTATATAAAGAAAAACAGTTCCTTTGCTTCAACTTCAAAATACTACTCTCCCTCAGAGTGGAGTTTCTCCTCAGCTTACCCGAGCCAGTAGGTCAGAAAGGGGACTAAAACAGGTTTGTGACCCAGTATCTCATAACCTACTGCAGCTGCAAATACCTCCTGTGCCCAACAAGATGCTAACATTATATTAATAATACAGACTATTTGGATTTGGTCTTGGTCAATTATGAAATATCAGACATTGAAACAGTGTTAGCTTGATACAGGAAAATAACGACATTTTCAGAACAATTGAAAGAATTCTTAAAAAATATTAAGCACAGTCTCTCTTTGTCTTGTGCAATGACCTAAGTAAAATGATTTACAATGAAGTGTCAAAAAGCAAAGCAAGGCAGGGCAGATCAACCAAGCAGTGTTTTCGTCTCTCTGAAGTGATCACGGTGATGAACCTTTACGTGCTACTTTCAAACTCAGGTCATCAAACTATGTCCATTGCAACATTGCCTCTCAGATATCACCCAGCCCTATATGTCTAACTTGCTTGTCTGAAGCATGGTAAGAGGCTGTAAGATGAAAGTGAGATAACACAGCTGTAATTATGGTCTGCTTACTCATAGGTTTTTAACTTGTAGTAGGTTTTATTCTCCCAAGTCATGACTAACAATGCAGTTATAAGCAAGAGGCATGCACATCACTGAACCAAGAAGCCTGCTTTGAGGCCCCTGCTGTGGGATGGGGTGGTTGGCCATAATGCAACACACAAAAGCTGAACTCATTGGTTTGTACTAAGTCAAATAGTTTTTTTGGGAGGCCTAATATAAAAAAGAAACTATAAAAAAGTAATTTTAAAGCAAAGCATATATACCCTCAATGTAAACATTCAGATATGTCCACAGGAAAAATGCAAGATTGATTTACAAATCAGGGGATTAAAAAAAATAAATTAAGATAAATTAGGAAAAAATGGATAGGATATGTTTTCTTCTAGTTTCTTAAACAGAGAGTTAATAAACATGCCAAGTCAAATTCTCATTTGTTTATGTAATCTATGGAACACTGCTCTTCTACTTACCGCTACATGTTAATAAACTTTCTATTCAAATTACAAATGGGCATGTTGGGTGAAAATGGAAAACAGAAATGTCCTACAGATTTAACGTATGCTCATTTACATTGCATACATTTCTTACATAATTTTAGTAACAAAATAAGGATGTGCTTGGATTAATTATTTTCTAGTGGCAAAGAAAGGTTTCAAATTCAGATTTGTTTAGGTTCGCATTGCACACAAACATAATTTGTCTTTTTAAATCCAGTACACTAGTACAAATTTTTATGTTATGAAAAAAAAAAACACAAAACCAGGAAAAACCCACTCTTCTGTAGGCTTCTTGAAGAGAACAGGTTACCTCAGCTCATGGGTATATAAAGACACATGAGAAAGCTGATGCATAAAATAATTAATGTTCTTTTGCATACTGCACATTTTGTATCTAGGAAGCTTACCAAATATTCTATTAACCATAGTCTGATTTCACAGACCCTTAGGTTACAATGACTGAGAACCCATACCTCTTACAAACTTGAGGGTTCATCCAAATTTCTTCTGTAGCTTGGCCTATTTAGTGAAATTGGTGATAATCTCAGACTGGAGAATTTGCAGGTATTCTCATTGCATGGCATTTTCAGATACTTTATGATTTTGTTGAGAGCTATCTTGAGAAGAAGCAAATCTGTTTTCCCACTGGTGAGATTCAGAAAGATCTGAGGCTAGGTACCTTTGCAGGTCTTGGGTCTAAAACTGGAAGTCCCTCTGCAGATCACAGCCTTGCTACAGCCTGAGAAACCAGGGAATGAAGAAAATTTCTGCAGAGTTAAAATGGTACAAGGCTACTGGTTGAACTGGAGTGGATGTAAGTAGTAGAAGCAGCAATGGAGCCTTTTTACCAGGCAAAAAAGGTTGGTGGTCATGAATGTAAACTGAAGTCTCACA